CACAGTGGGCATGGCCAGTGTTTCTAGCTGTACAGTAATCCTAAGTGAATATATGAAACCATCAATTTCTGCTAATGCAGGATTTCTGTCTAGAAAAAGATAGGATCTGGCAAGACTTGAATTTGCTATAATTTGAAATGTAACTTTTTTAAATTTCATCTTCTGTGGTGAGGTCAGAACCACATCTTAAAATTTTTTTCTCACATCTACAAAACTTTTTTCCCCTCATATATGAGGTTCTCTAATAATGAACAGCTACTGTTTGGCTGGACATCAGGAAGAAGGAAAACCGTCAAGATGTGCAATCCTGTGAGTTCCCAAGGGTGAATCAAAATGCAGCTCCCGAATCTGAAGACCGTATTTTGATCTGCTATGAACCTCTCCCATTAAAATTTAAAATACCCTTTTCCCTAGACCTCCTCTAAGATAGAACAAACTGTGTGGAAAAAACCCCACGTTCTGGCTGTGGCTTAAATAACAGAGTCCGTGTGAGCCGAGGGGTAAGGCTTACGCTTGATTCTTATTCCTTTCAGTTTCTCTCCATATACTCAGGTGAGGATCAGCTTTGGTTTTGAGATTCTTGGCTTGTCGCACTCTGCATCACAATTACCGTGTTTTCTAAACATCATGGGTTTTGCTTGAAATGCTTCATTTGATCTGAGATTGGCTCAAAGCAGCAGATCTGAAGGTGTAACTGAGCTTGCTTTCTCCTGCAGCAATCCAGGAGGATCAGATGAGAGGGGAAGCCTGGATGCTGTTAGTTCATTTGCATGTGAACAAGATAACTTCAGTTTATTCCCCCCCTACATACTGCAAAACCAGTAAGTTATGGTCTCTGAGGTGATGGGGTTTGATAAAGTTGTTAGCAGTATGCTGTGAATAAAAATGGGTATCTAGCTCAAACATACTGTTGTATCTACTGCAGGGATCTTGCTTGCTAAACTAACACCTGATTAGAAAATACACGGCACATGTTTTCTAGGTGCTTTCAAAACTCCTCCTGTAAGTTCTGTGGGAAGCAAGTGGAGCTTGCTTGGAAGGAAGTGGAGCTTGGAACGGAAGGCAGGGTGTTTGAATCCCTTTGAGGGCTTTGCTGCTAGCTGCGGGGATGGAGGAGAGCATTTGTCCTGTTCCCTGGAGCAGCAGAGAACTTCAGTTTTGCTGACACCTTCAACTATTGTGCTTTTCCACTCAATATTCTTGAAATGTGATTTAGTTGCGGCAAGACAGGGTGGTCAGAAAGCGGATGCAGCCTGACAGATGGCAGGAGAGATTTCCGGAAGCCCCTGGATACTCGGGGAAGAAACTCCTCTCTGATTTCAGCTCCAAGAAGAGTCTAAGCAATTCACGTGGGCTTCTTGTTACGCTGATCCCAGTCCAGGGGGTACATGCCACTGGAGCTCCACTGAGCTGGAGGCAGTTACTTGGGACGTGCACTGATGTGGATCTGGGCCAAGGTGCCCATAATTTGGCCCTGATCTCATCTTTCAAGTAAGAACAGAACTATGTTGTGCTTTTTACCGACAACTTGAAAATGAAAAATCCTGCATAGCCTGGTTGCTCATAGCAGAGCTTCCCAGCTGTGACGAGTTTTGGGGGCTCTCATTTTGGGGTGCCAGTCGTGGGGCACCTAAGCAGGGCCTCTGAGCATTTATCTTCTGAAAATCAAGCCGTTTGTTCTGTTCTAAGCCTCTGAAAATGTAGGCACTTAGCTTCCTTTGAATCTCTTGGCCCTGCGGATTTATAAAGCCACAGACCACTGGTTTTGTTTGATTTTTTTACGGTACGGTGGGACTGTGTGATGAATTTCATTGCTGGTGGTTTCCCTTGTAAACAGTAAGAAAAAGCTCCTAATTTTAATGAGCACTTTGCTCTCCTACTCCCTCTCTGTGTGCAACACAGTGTAAATGGATAGGAAACAAAAGACAGTCTGCCTTTCTCTGAACAGCCATGCCAAGTCTGAAGCCTTGTTGGGGAAGCCCGAGTCATCAGTACTCTCCCCCTTCCCCCCAGTGTTTGCGCTGTTCTCGTCTGAGCGGATCTTCTGCCTTCGTGGCTTTACATTCCTGAATTCTGATGTGGGTTCTTCCTCCAGAGCCCCTGCCCAAACTTTTTCCCGAGGGGATGACACTATTGCAAGTCGTGCGCTGTCAGGCAAGGTTTTAAGCTCAGGCAGTGTGGCTGCATCTCCATAAAACCATGGGTCTCTGCTCTCCTTTTTCTGCTCTTCTACGGTTGGTTTATTTTTCCTTCTTGACTCCCCATTTCTTACCAATTCTGCCTCATTTGGTCTTTACGTTAAGCGAAGCACGGACTTAAGATCTGTCCAAACCACAGACTTGCTTGTATGTTGGCAGGTTTTTCTGTACTGAGGCTTCTCTCAGGAATACCTGAGAGATTCTGTAGCCTTGAAGCGTCAACAGTTCTCACCTTTTTTTAGCACCTTGGCAGTGAGACAAATAACTTGGATGGTTTTTTTCCTGGTTTTGTCTGAGGGAAGTTCATCCATCACGGTGGAGGCTTTGAAAAGGAAGGTGGTTCTTGCGCTGGAGGGATAATCTTCCTAACCTCAGAAGGCCTGAGGTGGGCCTGATCAGTTTTGATATGAAAACATGGATGAAAAAAGGGAAGACGACAGGGTCAGAGCTACGGCGTTGGTCAGTGGGGCATCCTTGCTGCGGAGGCGGTGAAGGAAAGTAGTTCTCCCATGTGGCGTTTCATCCTTAATACACAGCTGCCGCATTAGCTCTGCGTGCATACTGCAGATCCCTGACAAACCGAATCCAGTTCATGGCGCGGTTATGCCGCTGTTTTCACCTGGCAAACAAAGATGCCGTAAGGCATGGCCCTTTTTCTGCACTCTGCTGGCCCCCGTGCTTCTGAGCGGCCTCGTGGTGCAAGGAAAGGGTTAGTTTTTGGCGGGATCCGTCTGCCTCGTTGTGCAGCCACACTGAAACCCACATGGTGGAAGCGAGGGGTAGTGGGGAATTAGCGGTTAGGGCGCTGCAGCTGCCAGCGTGGGTTGGTTCTGGCTCAAACAGAAGGGCCCAAAGCAACTTCCTGTTGTTGGTAGAGAGGAAACTGGGGCGCGGAATTTGCCCCTCGGTATAGCCATGGCAAAGGGTAGTGCCTTGTAACCTCCCAAATGCTGTGTGTGACATTCGTGGCAGCGTACAGCTAACGGAATGTGAAATGTGGCTTTGGAGGAAAGTTGGCTTCTGAACCGCACGTGTGAGCGCACGTGTGTGTGTGTTTGAAGGTGACCTTTCTAGTACAAGGTATTGGTCTCTGCAATCCGTTCGCCTCCAAGTGTGCCTTTGTTTTCTGTATGTCTCCTCTCCTGCATGTGTCTCCAACCTGGATCACTACAGGCTAGAGCCAAGCAAACAAAGGAATAGTCAACAAAACCATTGCCCAGTTCCCTGTTGTTTATTTTTTTGTTTGCAAAAAGTGAAATCCGTGTCTCTCAAGCTTCTTCTATGAATCGGAATGATTGTCTTCTTGTAGGAAACATGGTTATGTCTTTCCTAAACTGCACTCAGGTTGCCACAGAGCATTGCTGACTTGCTTCTCCCAGTTTCGCACACTTGTAAAGCTCATGTTGGAGCAGTGAGCCCTTCCACATCCCATCTCTTGTCTCTTTCAATCATCTGGATTCAGGCCTTCCCCGTGTGTTTCTCACCCAGGTCTCTGATAAGCTTGCCATATCACGCAGGGTACCCAAACCTGGTGCCCTCTCCTCTATCTTTTATAATCTGCGTGACAGTTCAACCTGGTGCTATAATGAGCTGTGCAGGAAATATTTTTATGTCATACTGGCGTCAATTTAGACTAATCTCCAACGACTGTGTACAAAGAAGTCCTGATTATTACTGTTGGTAATTAGAAAAGGTCACCTAAATCCTTTACAGCAGCATGTTTCCAGCTGCAAAAAGAAGTCTGTATATCTATGTATCTCTTTTTTTTTTTTTTTTTTTTTTGCCCTTGCACTGAGCTAATTGAAGCTTTGATCACCTGGGTTTCAAATGATGCCTCATCATTTCCGTTCTTGAAGAATAATAATGTTCATGCTTCTCCCACAGCTTTTGTCTCCATTAGGCATTTCCATGTCTGGCTAATGAGGAACAGGATTCTTTTTGAAGGCTATAGCGTAGGGTTACAGGAAGTATGTGATAGTCACAACAGTCTGTAGTCAGCTAGGAGGTAGCATAAGGAATGTTTCACCTGATTCCAGCTGTTGTCCATTGAAATTTCACCAAAAGATATTTTCCTCTTGCAGCCAGTTTTTCCTGGTGATGACCTTTTCATTTATTTGGGGAGGGGCAGCACTCTGGGTTCTGGGCTAGGGCTTTTCCTGACTGTGTCCTGTCCAAACACAAAATAAAAAGACTACATCTTTCCACAGAATTTCGTCTTCCCACTTCTTTTTAGTACAAGTATGGTCCTGGTAGTCCCAGGCTGTCCCACTCGCTACCTTGTGGACCCCAGGTCACACACTGGAGAGCTCTCAAAAGCATACTATGAACAGACTCTTGATTTACCCAGCCCACATGCAGTTAGGAGGACAAGTGGTGCTGTTCCTTGTCTCTTACAGAAGCGCAGAGTGTTTGGTTCAGAGCATGAGGGCTGTCTTCGTTGCTCTGGGTGTGATTCCTCTGGCAGGTTTTGCTGTCTTCCAGCGGGCAGAGCCTGTGAAGCAACCCCTACAACAGTGCTCAGAGCCCAACCTGAATTGACGTGTTGCAAGGGTGTCTAAGTGAGCACCCCGCCAAGGAGGGGCGGGAGGAGGTGGGGCTGCACCCGGGACTTCTAAGGGCAGAATAAATGGGAAGGTGTAGGGCAGCCCAGCACAGTCAGCCCGGCGCACCCGCTGGGTCTCTGTTCTCCTCCCCTGTAATCTGCAAGAGTGTATTATCCACGCCAAATCGTGAAGAAACACGTACAAGCAGATTTTTGCCTTGTTTTCTTTAACCTGCAGTTACCGATCAGCAACTTTCAAGATGACAAGAATTTTGACAGCTTGCAAAGTAGCGAAGACTTTGAAGAGCAGATTGGAGTTTTGCAACGCGTCTGCTGACCACTGGAGTTTCTCAAGGACCGGTACCAGGTTGTTGAGCATCAAGGTAACAGTAACTGAGCTACTGTGGTTTAATGGATGTGTTTGGCATGCTGAGAGATAGCTGGCTGCAGATAACAGGGCTTACCTAGACACATAAAATTGAACTTAACGAGATTTGTCTGAAGCCTAAGCAAGGGGGTTGCTCAGCTAAATGGTTTTATTAGCTAAGCAAACACAATTTTTGTGTAGTCTGGAATGGAAATTATAGGGTGAATTGCACCAGAAGGTGGAAGTTCAGGGTTTCAGTTAATCACTACATGGTATTTTCTTGAGAAACACCCCATCCTTCTATAGGACTGATAGCTAACAGGGCAGATGTTTCAGTCCATTTGAGCATGAATCAGCTAGGTATTTAAAAACGTGCATCCCTTGAAGCATGGGATTAATCTTTTTGGATCTACAAAGGATCCCTTGTAAATGTTATGATGGCTCTGCAATTAGTTGGAGAGGTAAACAACTCTTTGTGAATGCATCAGTGTATCAGCTCTTGATTTCCTGGGGCTGGAACCCCTGCGTTCACTTCCCCAAGTTTCCTGTGCTCTCTGTTACGAGAGCTGCATTTGACCAGCATTGCTGGTGTAGCTGGGGCAGTTGTGACAGGGCATGGTGGGAAATGGGACGTTCTGTGCAAGTTCCGTAGTGCTGGCAGTGTTTTGTCATCACGCACATTGCACTGGAAAGTGGCTCTTGCACGTGTATCCTGTTGAATCAATGGTGTAAGAGAGTTAGCAACCGGAGGGGTGAGGTTTCAGTGGGTGGTGGGGAAGAGCTCTTGGAGACTTGGGCAGCAGATACCCTGTGGGTGCCACCGTACCTGGCAGGGTGGAGTAGAGGGCTGATCTATATAATTTCTGTCCATTGAGGACTAATGTTTCTCCTACCTGTCCCAGTGCTAATGATTTTTCAGGAATTCTCTGAGCTCCTGGCAACAGACCCCTTACTTCTAAACCCAAAATTGGGTGCAGAGAAAAACTGGATGAGGAAAGAGGCATCCCCATTTTCATCCCTTCCTTCGGGGTGCAAGTTCTCAGTTTAGCTGTGTCTAACCTGCACTTAAACCAGAGCCTGTGTTGTGAGTAGCGTTCTTGCTGATGGACTTGTCTTTTCCTCGCGGAGAGCGCACAGCGGGCATGAACCGTTACCGTGGTCACTGCCTTAAAACAGCACGGTAATCTTCCTCCCAGCAGATTGATCCTGACTCTGCAATCAGATCTGGCTCAGGAGGAAGTTTTTCCTCCTTGTGATGACAACAGGGGTCCTACTTGTGAGTTAAAAGGCATCAATGGTTACCAGTTCCCACAGCTGCACCACCTGAAGAAGTAGTGCGCTGGCACGAGGAGCAAGGTCCTTGGTTGTTCTTCAGGCTGGTGAAACTATGTTGGTTTGACACTGACCACGCATTGAAACTATGTCAGAGCCCTCAGGTGGGGCAGTGCCGTCTCTCATGTCTTCCAGGGCAGGTGCCAGCTTCTGTTGTTCCACTTTGAAACCTCAGCACGGGGCTAGAAAGTGTCGCCTGGTGTGACAGAGCACATGGTGACACAGTTTGAACAACCTCTTCTCTCTGGGCTTTGTGCCTCAGTTTGAAATGGGGTAGGAGAAAATGGAGACAATCTTACTGCCAGTGTTACTGGATGAGTGGAACGGGTGAATGCACTGGGAGGTGCTGTTGGCAAATGTCACAGTGTCTAGAGGGTAGGAGCCCCGGATTCATACGTGACCGCTTGTTTTATGACTGGTGATGGCCCGCATCTTCACTGTGCTGATGCTGCGTATTGCAGAACAGGAGTCTGTGCAGGTACGCTCAGGTTCACTGCAGTTTTAGAAACTGTCAAGCCACTCAAGCAGGCCTGAAGAGTTCTGTTGGAATGAACGCCATCCGTGCTCGTCTCTATCGCCTGTGATACCTCTCTTGCTTTTTGGAGCTGGTTCAGTTATTTCTGCCATGCTCTGTAGAGTACAGGCTTGTGATGCCCAGACAGTGAGTTCAAAGACAGATTAGTCCATAGTTACAAAGTCTGCCACTGCAAAAGGCATATTCTGCTGGTAAAGCTTTGTAGCTCGTGGTTAGTATTGCTGTTTCAGCTCTTGATGAGACACTACCTTTCTTTACACATCCCGGGACAATTCTGGTAGGCATCTGTAGTAGGCTGGATCTGATGCATACTTATACTGATGGATTAGCATCTGAAGTTTGGATTTGGTATCTTAAATGACAGATTGATGGTGTCACTCACTCAAGGACTGCACAGCGACAGACCTACAAGGTCATATCTCATAATGCTGAGGCATCCAATTAAGAAGTTTCATGCTTCTGGAAAACTGCTGCCCTGCTCTGATGGAGTTACGGTACCAGCTGTTACAGCAGCTACCTAATCCTGTGCCTGTGAAGCTGGAGAGCGGTTGCTTAAAGCCAGTGACACTGATGCTGAAGGCAAGGAGAATGAATACCTGATAAGAAAGCAATGTGAAGTGAAACCCTTGGGAGTTGTTTTAACCTCAGTCCCAGCGATTGAGAACACAGCCCAGATGGGTTGGAATGAATTGGCCCCTCTTTCAGTGTCGGGGTATATGACAGGATCTATTTCAGGGTGGCCAATACCTACTGTGGGTCGGAAGGGCTGAGCCCAGTGGAGAGTTTGCAGCCGCCCCTTGACTGGCTGGCCTGCCACAAGGTGTGGTGCTAGCCAGCCAGCCCCAGAAACCTCTTTCTGCCATACGTTACGTGGCAGCTTCTGCCTTGGAATTGATGCTGGGGACAGTTGTCTCCTTGTTAGACTTGATTATTTGGGTTCAATACCTACAGGAGTTTGTGCTGTCGGAGTGGATGCTTCAACTCCTGGAGACTCAGGAGGCTGATACCTGGTGTAGTTTAGGAGCCTGTGGCTCTTGACATCTCAGATTTTGAATGCCACCTTTGCCAGGGGCCATGTGATTTTGTTTCCATTCAGAATCTGGAATATAAAACTTGAACCTTTCCTGGCCTGGGGCTTCTGCTTTAAGCCAGTGTCAGGCTTATACACCTTCTTCCATGGGACACATGGAAGCAAAGGTGGAAGAGACTCTTTAATATACGTATGCAAGCAGTAAAGCAGCAGGCCTGAGGGAAAATTTAAGGATAAATGGTCCTAAAAGGCCAACCTATTGCATAGCTTTGTGTCAGAGTGTGGAAGTTAGCTGTAGTTGTGAGACAAGTGACCAAGTAGTGACTTACGGCTAGGTTTAGTGTTCCAGCCATCATTAGAGGTAATGGATATCCCTAGGAAGTTTAGAGAAAGAGTGAAATGCAAAGTAATTAAGGTGTGTGGGCTAATGGTAGCATAGGTAATGATCCCATTCTCCCATTATTGCAGTCTTAAATGAGCGTTTAGTTGCTTTTTATTGCTTTTTCTCAGTGGGCTATTTTAGGGAGCATAATAAAATACAATGAAAACACGTTCCTAACCTATGTATAAACTAAGTAAGTGTTAGAGAACATGAGGGAGAGGTGGTAGTTTTAGCAGAGTGCCTAATAATTCTTCTCCCAGGACTGTTTTCTGTCCAGTTAAACTCAGTATATGTGGGGAAACAGCGCTGTAGGTGAGCAGTCTGAGGTGTGGGGACTGACATGTCTGTATTTCCCTATTGCATCCCATCCTTTGCTTCTAAAGGAGAGATGGAGCATCCATGGGCGAGAGGGGCACAGAGAGCCGATCGGAGACCCCTGTGGGCTCTCTGTAGGGGTGCTTAGCATCATTGGTTTTGGGGTAATCAAGCTGCTTTAATTCAGGAATGGGCAGAGACTGCAGCTCGAAGCTCGTCTCATTTAATGCTCATCTGAGGCCAATGTAGTTAAATGGGGATGTAAAGAGTAGCACAGGCAATAAATAGGTGGCTTGTAACAGCATAGCTGGCTCTGTAAGAACACTGGGAGAGCTGTAAAAACCACTAGGAGCAAGCTAAAAATATAGTTAGAAATGAGAGGAGGAACATTTTGGAGCGATTTGGGAACTACTTCAGGTTACAGTAAAAGGGCTTCTCATGCCCTTTGGGGCAGGTGGAAAGGAACTGGGAAAATTACAGCATGGGGAGCAGAGAGATGGGAGCGGAGAGGAAGGATCAGTCACAAGCTCCTCCACTCCTCTACCTCTGGAGGGGGGAGTGGAGGGGAGATAAAACTCTGTTCCCCAAGAGATGGGGGGAACTTGGTGAGTTGCTGGCGTGGGGCAGAAGAGGGGTGCCCACTGGCTTCTGCTAGCTGCGTCTCCTGTCTTGGTTCCCCCTTTGACTTTTGTCATGTATGGGTGTTTGTGGCGTTGTTGTGAACAGCCTTAAGAAGAGCTCGAGTTGTAGGAGCTTTGACTTCCCCACCATGATACCTGCATTGTGTTTCTGGCTTTGGAGAGGGTGGGGAGGCACTGGGACAGGTTGCCCAGGGAAGCTGTGGATGCCCCATCCCTAGAAGTGTCCAAGACCAGGCTGGATGAGGCTTGGAGCAACCTGGTCTAGTGGAAGGTGTCCCTGCCCATGGCAGGGGGGTTGGAGCTGGATGGTCTTTAAGGTCCCTTCCAACCCAAACCAGTCTGTGATTTGCTTTCTCTTTGGCTTGGATAGTAAAGGAGCTAATCCCAGGCTTGTCCCCAAAGTTAATCTTCTTTGGTGTATCCCAAGGCACTGACCTGGCTTTTAAATCGTATTTATTCCTGCCCTTTCTTCTTCTCTTAATTACAGCCAGTGGTAGAATTGCTAAAATTAAATGTTAAAAAGGAGCTGGGAAAGAAAGCCCTGACTGTTAATAGATAGATTTCCAGCCTGTGATGGCATAGTACTCACAAGAAGAGACATTTCTCTACCAACAAGAAAACTCCTTTGTTGCTGGTTATTTGGTCTTGAGAGAGTGGATGTAGCAAGGTCTTGGTGCCATCTTTCTACTGTGGAAGAAATCCTGTGGCTTTTGGCTTCATCTGTGCTTTGGATATGTTGGCTGTTACGTAGCCAGACGGATTAGTGTGCTGAGAAGTGCGGCAGAGGCAGCTGTGCTGTGTGGAATCATGGCCTACCTTGGAAAGAAGCTGTCCCTCTGCCACCCCATCAGTGCCCATCCTGCAGCCTCTCCTGAGCACAGGGAGTTCTGCTAAAGGTAAAGCTACTGGTGTGTAGGAAGGAGAAATCGGATTGCAAATGGTGTGTCTCACGTGGGGGGGCTGTGTAAGACACATTTCAGTTGAGACTACAACAGGTATCTATCCAGAGGTACGTGGGGATGCTTCCGAGGAGGGTGGAGACGAAAGGACCTCCTGGAAGCTCTGGGGTCTTTGTTTATTCCTTGCTGCTGGTTCTGAAAGTGAAAATCTCTCCCAGATAATCCCTGATTGAGCCAACTGGCCTTCTTTATCGCCTGTAAATCACTTTTCCCATTAAAACCAAAAATGAAAAGACAAGGTAGGCTGGCAGCTTAGGGATGTGGTAACACCTCCGCTGGAAATGTAAGCAAGAGTAATTGCTTCTAGAATGCTCAACAAACCAACCAACCACTTAATTAAGAATAATAAATCAAGTAAGGGAGGGAAACATTTGAACATCTATCCCTTGCTGTAGCTGAACTTGCAGGCAGGTTATGGCTGCTCAGGGACATTGTTCTGCATTACCTGAACACTGAGTAGGGGCTCTGAGAGTGCGGCGGGAGCTTCTCTTCAACAGAGATCATTCCTGTGCTGGTCTCGGGTGTAGAGGGGCAGGTGGTCTGTGGTGGGAGGAAAGGCATGCAGGTTCCCATCAGGTAATATAGCGAGGGGGAAGCTCTAAAGGTCACAGTGATTGCTCTGGATTTTGGCCCTCAGGAGTCAGATGGATCTTAACCTCTCTGGTCATTCCAGTGTTGCGGACTTTGCTTCCCGCAGAGCTCCCCCGGGCTGTGTTTGCACTTGGGGCTGCGATTCAGGCGATTACCCCGACTTGTTCCAACGAGTGGGTAGGACTTGCTTGAACTGGAGTTGATATTTGGGTGGACTCAGGTACGTGGCCGGCTGGGGGAAGGGATCCATCTCTTGAAACCGGCTCCTACAGCTGGTCTCCTGTGTGGGCTGGGTTTTCAGGAGGGGCAGAGGTCCTGTCCAAAGCCCAGTCTGAGGCACCCTCTGCGCTTTGCAATGCTTTGAGTGTGTCGCAGCTTTCTGTAACGAGAGGCTTAGTGCAATTAGGGAGCTGACCAAACTGTATTTTTTTATTTCACCTAAATTCCCTGGTTTTAGTCCAAACTATATTTAGAACTGGAGAGGGTGCTGGATTTTGGTGTTGCTGACTGTCCTATCCAGTGGGGGGGGTAAGGTTCAGAAAATGAGGGCTAAACCTTTTGGAGAATGACTGCATGTTTGACATTAATGAGGAAAAAATGCGAATCTAAAAGCATCCCAGACACACAGAATTCAATTACTTGGCAGTGGGGTTTGATTCTGAGTGTATTTTGCAGTACATTAGTAATTGATCTGTGCAGTATTTGTAACTGCGGAGGAGCTCTAGATGAATGTTTGCCGTGATTGTTACAAAATGTTCAATGCTGGGAATGAAATTTCTCCTTGCTGTGATTGTTCATCTGATTTACGGCTAATGGAAACTCGCTCTCCTGCTCCTTTCTACAGCAAATTGATCTTGATTCTTCTTTTAAAAAATCCCAGCAAGAGGAATTGTTCTGTAAAAAAACCCAATATGAAGTTAAATCATGGTGAGAGCTGGTGCCTGCTGTGCAAGCTCGACCCATCTCCTGTGGTGCAGACCGTTGGGGTTTGCACTGGTCGTGGCTCTGTGGCTCCAGCTCCCTGCCCAGGAGGCAGCTCTGCCTCCATTCCAGAGGTGGGAGTTTCTCAGGGCACAAAAGGTTCATCATCCAAGTTCTTTTAAGCCCAGAAATTCGTTGGGAAGTCTATTTCCAGCTTTGCTTGCTCTCTGTCTTCCCCTGCACATCATTGGTGATCCTTCTGCCCGAAGGACCCCAGCTCACCTGTCGTTTCTCTTGCGCATATGGTAGGAGCTAGAGTTCCCAGGTGATTTCCCATCCAGTTCCTGGACAAGCTAAGAAAGGTTCAGCTTCCAAATGAAGCAAAAGAGGGCGTGTTTAGTCTGGTGTGTGCAAAGACCCAGCTATGCCACTGAATCTCTCAATGGCTTTTGTAAAAGTCACACTCTCTGTCCTGTTTTCCTCCTCTGGAAGATGGTGATTAAGCCACAGTTAGCGTGGAACTCGGTTCTGCTAAACACTCTGATGGACATGCAGCTTCATGGGAAGCTTTCCTCTAGGATAGACAATTTATGCCTACCCCTGGGGTAACTGAGACCAAGACTGTCCGTCTCAGCCGTCAGTTTCTCTCTTCTTGTGTCCTGCAGTGGAATGGACTGGCACTTTGAATTTTGCCGTCTGATGCGAGTCCAACTAAGCCTGCGCTTCTGTTGTGTTGCAACTGGACAGCTAAGCCGCTGAAGTTAAGCACCAGTTGAAGGCCACGGCTTGATGAGAGCCAGCGTGCTTGGCAGCAAGTCTGGAGCAAACGCTGAGGAGAGAGGCGAGCCTTTCCCTGTGGAGTTAGGAGATCGGTTCATCTCAAGATGTAATGGGTGGAAGCAATGAACGGAGTGATCCAGAAGGAGCCAGGGTGATCCCGCAGTAATAGCAGCATGTGCTCTGAGGTTTGCCAGCTGCCTTGTCCTCATTAGGAGCACAATAGTTTCTTAAGTGTCGGAAAGAAAAAGAGCATCAGGAGTCTGTAGCGGGTATGGGAGAGGGGCAGAAATACTTCCACTGTGAGATGTGAAAGGCAGGTGCCCAAGGTGTTACCTGTATAAACATCAAGACTTTTCCTCCTGTATTTGTGTCTCTTCATGTGCCTTTCTCTAGACGCAGACAGCGCACTTGGTGCTGGAAGATGGGACGAAGATGAAGGGCTATTCTTTTGGCTATCCATCCTCCACAGCAGGGGAAGTCATATTCAACACTGGTCTTTCTGGGTAAGGCAAAAGCAAATGAGATGTGAGCACCAAAACTTCTCTGGGAGCTTGTTAAACTGTGAAAGCTGCTTTTTCCAAGCTTGTAGGGTCCTGATACAAGCACGTAATTTTCTGTATAAGAAAACACTGTAGTCCAGGGATATGGAGAGAGAGAGAGAGAGAGTTAATGAAGAGGCTTCAGGCAGTCCTCTTGTGTGATAGTGTTTGTGGTGATGAGCAACTTTAAAGACTGATATAACCAACCATGATAGTGAGGTGTGTTGGGATCTGCTCACTTCCCGCTGAAATGCAGCCAGAGTCAGAGCAGAGGAGCTGTCTTTGTTCTCCCTCCAATGCCCTGATCAAATATGGAGGTTTGAGGTATCTGCAGCCTTCTGGGTAGTGGAACTTGGCTTCCAGGTGTAAAACTTTTACATCCTGAAGTTCCCAAGTTGCTCACCTAAACGACCCATCCCTTACGACATTTGTTGGCTCATTCCGCGGTTAAGGATGCATTTAAACACTGTGCCCTTTCCAGCGAAAGGGTAGGATCGGATTCATGCCTAACCTAGCGTGACTCCTTGTCCTCTTGAGTGGTAGAAGCCAGTGGGTGGCTTAGGATGGCAGCCAAATGCTGCCGGTGCGTTGTTTGAACTGCTTGAACAGAATAAATCTGCCCAGAGGAATGAGAGGGACATGTCTCTGGGGAAGTGAGTCAGCTCGGACGCTGTTGGTGCTTGAGCTTTTTCTGCAGTCAGTCATGGCTGTCCTTGCCCAGCTCCCTTGCACTCCCCAAATTCTGCTCTCCTTCGGGGGGAAAGCAGTACTCACAGGATGGGTTTTTTAAATGCTCTCATTGGTGAGAATGTTAAATTGCTGCAGGAGGGGAATCTGTTTGCAAAGTTTTGCATTAGGAGGCAATTATTTAAGTATTTTGACAGCACTAATTACTGGCTGTGTTAATATACCTGCCAACGAGCAACTGTTTAATATAGATCAGAATGATGGAGGGCACAAGAGTTCTCTTCTCAGTGATAGATTATGGGCAATAAATCTTGTCACATCACAAAAGTCAAGGAGGACCTGATGGATTAATTTCCTCTCCACATGTTACTGTGGCAGCAGAAGCTGTGTTTGCTCATTTTCTAGTGATTTGGAGAGGATGTCTGGGAAAGAGGGGTCTTTTCTGTCCTGGGGAGCGTTGTGGGCATGGAGGGAATATTCAAAACGCAAAGCTGTAGCTTCAGAGTGCTCTCCAGGAACACGACCTTGAGGAAGCAGAGGAAGATAGGAGTTTGCAGCATTGTTGCAGATCATAAAAGTGACAGATTTGTTACCAGTCTGGGGATCCCTGTGCTCCTGAGCACAGAGATCAAGACCTTATTTATCCCGAGAGACCCAGCTACCTCTTCTCCTTGACACAGTTTAGAGGCCAAATGCCTGTGTGAAGCAGGTGCCCAGGGTTGGGGCCTTTCACAGACTGTCTGGGCATGCAGCAATCAGTCGGTTTAGGGAGCAAGAGCCTACGAAGGGGGTGATTTTGTCTAAGGCTGCTTTTAAGCCTCAAACCCCTGCTTTCTGTGAAGGGGGTGTTTCTAGATGCTGAGTGGGGTCAGCATGGGCTCTGTGCTGGGATGATGAATATGCTGCTCTGCACCTCGTCTCCTCATCTAGACTCCCACGTTCTGATTCGTGTCACAGAACGCAGAGGCAAAGCACTTCATGTGTGTACAGCTTTCAGGCTTGAAGTGGCTAAAGCTGGCCAAAATGGTGTCATATTACTCTAGAACAGAGGGCAGAGAGCACTGTTTTGGGGGTGGACTGTTGAATTTTCATTAGAAAAGCATGAGGATGAACTTTTCAGCAACATTTGCTGAAAAAAAAAAAAAGTCTCAGCGTTGCAGCCATCTGTTTGGTGAAGGAAACAAAAAGGAAGAGAGGAGATTTCCAGTTAAGAAAGAAGAAGAATTAACAACCCATAAAATACTCCCATGTTTTTAACAGTTCAGTAAGTGCATAAGTCTGCATGTGTTTCCCATGATATTCTGTTGATTGACAGGAATTTCCTGGGATCGGGCAGGCCTTTGGGCAGGCACAGCAGGGTTGAACCTTGCAGCATCTTTGGAGCTCGTGCTCCCATCTGCTCCTCTGCGCTCCGCAGGGCATTGTGCCTGCTTAGAGGGCGTTGCATCTCTGCCCAGAGCTGGGCCTTCGTGCCCCTGCCAAACCCAGTGGCTCTCTGTCCTTGTTTGCTGATCACAAATAACGCAGAGAGATTAATTACATTAGCTTTGTTGTTAACAGAGTCTTTGGAAGCGTAACGGATTGACGTGGAAGGAGAGAGCAACGCCAAACGTGCGTGTGCCATGCGCTTACCGCAGTTGTGTGCTCACGCCGCACTTCGTGTGGTTGTTTACCTGCAGCAGAAAGTATAGATTTGAGCAGCAGGAGAGGCTTACCTGAAAATACTTCACGGCCATTGTTCATTCGACGTGTCATTTCTCAGAGCTGGCTGGGGTGCTGCGTTGTCTGTATCTGCCTGCAACCATTCCCGGTTTTGTGAAGGGTTTCCCAATGTTTGACAATTCATCTTCTGGCAGTAAGGCCGATGTTCCATAAAAATGTCTCTTGTGACTTGCTGATACCTGGTAGATGGCGGGAGTTGCCGGTTATGTATCGTTTAAACAATGATGACAGTAATAAATTACATTTTGTGCAGGGCAGATTCATCCTGAAGTGTCTTTGTGCATTTGGCTAAATATTTGTTTGGATAACTTAATCTGCTGCTAAATTACAGCTGCTTTTGGGTTGAAAGACAGCAAGTGTTTAATGGATTGCTGCAACAGTAGAGGGGAGAAAGTGAAGGACTGTGTTAATTTAGGACCGTGGGCATGTAGACTATGTTTGCCCTGTCACCCTCTTTGGGGTTCTGGATCTACTGGCTCCAGGGCTGATAATTTGCAATAGCCTAGGTTCGATCCTCCACTGCAGAACAATGTTCCACCATGCTTTTAGACCTGTCCTCACTGAGAAGGGTGTTCAGGCAGGTGCTTGAACAACGTTGCCGTTCCTGGGGCTTCTGCCTGGGCTGAAGATGTAAGGATGTGCTCTGGGGCCTTGTCACCAGGGCGGATTGCTGGATCCCGAGGCACCGCCTTGGCCTTGCCTTCTTCAGAGGCACACAGACCAACTTCCGAGTGTGTAGGAGTCTTGTTGGGTGGAATGTGTGGTGTCCTGTGGGTGGGAAGCTGGTGACTGCCTAGAAGAGAGGCCGGGCCTCTGCTGGGAGAAGCTGCTGAAGTGGTACCGTGGCAGGGTTTGTTGTCAGAGAACCCAGAGCAGTAGTGCAGAATCCCACGGATGATTCACAGCTGATTCTCCCCAGGTAAAATGAGAGGCATAGGTTTGTCTACCCGCTCCCTGGCAGGAGGGCAGTTACAACCCTGACCGCCTCAAGGCTTGCAAGCTTCAGCCTGAGGAGGGGACCATGTCTGAGCAAACCGCTCTGTTTTCTGTTGGCTTTTCAGTTCGGGCTTTCTAGTGCCACTGGCAGGGGCATGTTCTTACACCGCTTGAAGGGAAGGAGGCAGCACTGCCAAACCCACGTGGAGTCCCAGGGGAATGACCAAGCCCCAGCTGTTACCTGTGGGTCAAGCGATACGCCATGCTCTTGCTGCAGTTCTGTGATCGCTCGCTGTGGTTGTTTACCTTATGTTAAATCACAACGAGTCCAAGTTTACAATAGCTCCTGTGCTTTTCTTAAACTAAACATGAGGAGCCTAGGCATTTTCCTGTTCTCAGTGTGAAAAGTTTAATCACAGATGGCACAGTCGGGGCAGATTCATGGATGGGTTTGCTTTTATGCTGAGAATGCTTTCACGTGAATGCCATTTCTGTCTTTTTCTCATAGGGGAATTCAGTCCTGCCTTGTTTTCACTGGCTCTTTCCTTTCGACTCTGGACCAATTCTTTTCTATTCCTTCTTCATCCAGGTACACCGAGGCCTTGACAGATCCCAGCTACAAAGGACAGATTCTTACACTGGCTAACCCCGTAGTTGGGAATGGGGGAGTGCCTGACACGGCTGCTTTGGACGAAGTGGGCCTCAGGAGGTTTCTGGAGTCTGATGGGATCAAGGTAACAGTGGGAGATGCAGAGCTGATCAAAGGGTGGTGCTAGCAGCTTGAATCTGTGTGTGTAGGCAGGAGTTTACTGACACCCTCATAGAAGTTAGAAGGAATCAATGATACTCAGCCTTTCTTTTTCTTCTGGATATTATCCTTTGGAGGAATGGTGGCAAAAGATAATCCATCTTGCTTTGTGTACCAGGCCATGTGCTGTCTGAAAGCGGTGTGTTTCCCATCAGTTCACACATGCTTTTTGTGAACTGCTGTTCTGGATGGCTTTTTTTCCACATTTCCTTCCGCCTCACATTTGTCTGTGTTTGCCCAGGACTGGTTGCCGCAGACAGATTGGATGCCAGTGAGAATGAGAAGTTTCTGTATGCAAAGGCTTTTCTCTATATGCCTGTACTGCCAGGATCAGGGGAGGGGACAGCTGTGTGGAGAAGGCCGTATGTCTGAGTGCAGGAGCCAGTATTTACACTGTGGTCACAGGGGATATGGGCCAGGAGCAGAGCTGTGTCCATGGCAGTACTGAAAAACGAACCAAACCCATGTAATTCCAGAACCAGTGAAATGTGTTATCTGTCCTGAGGTGAAATGATTCCTTTATAAGCTGACTCCACTGGAAAACTGAGTTGACTTTTGAAATTAAATGCCGCTTAAAAGTGAAAAGCAATATTAAACAAAAAATGAATCAAAATAATCATTTTGTCTTAAATTTCCATTTTCTTTCTAACGAGAAGCGTTTTCTCAGTTTAGTGCAAGTTGCAGCTTTGGTTATCTGGAAGCCACATTATTCTCTGAATTTCCTAAGTAAAATGGCCCAGGTACAGTCATGACAGAGCACTTTACCCCTTTGCCAGGTACCTGTTCTGTGCCCTCCCCCTGTGAAAACTCAGGTTTGCTCCCTTTTCATTACTGCGCCATGTCAGCCTAGCCTTGTGCCCTGTCCGTGACACGGTTTAGTGCATGGATAGTGAAAACTCGGGAGGTACAGGGCAAGTACAGGGTGATTCTGCGGTGCAAAATGATGTTTCTTCGCTCTACAGGTTTCAGGTCTGCTGGTGCTGGATTACAGCAAGGAGTACAGCCACTGGCAGGCTGCTAGGAGCCTGGGAGAGTGGCTGCAGGAAGAAAAGGTGAGCAATCTAGGGGTAACTACATTGTGAGAACGGACCTGCGTGTGTGGGAACAGGGGAAAGAGCTGCTGGCTTTGAGCTGGTAACCACTCTTCTCCTCAGGTGTCTTCACCAGGCTGTACTGTGCTCATTCTCTGTTCCTGAGTCTTCATCCATTTCTCTTTTTCAGGGTTCAGTGGTATTACCCAGGTCTGTCCAGAAGGAATGTTAATTAAAGGGGGATGTTTAGTTCTCCATAAAAATGATACACATTAGATGATGTTCTGTTCTCTCCTGAAATGTTTCTGTAGTGCTGCTCCTAGTGGTAACCTCAAGAGGTGTTAGCTGCCAGAACCCCACTGGCTTGAAGCCCTGGGAGGAGTCACCGCCTGCCACTGGCTAGTGATGGCTGGGAGGGATAGGTGCTCATAAGGGAGGCAGGAAGGGTCTCAGAAATGAGTCAGGTATTTGAAACCTGAGCTTTTTATTTTGCGCTTTTTAGGGCAGAGTCTAGATATGAAGAACTAAGCTGTTTGAGTGGGAACAGGGAGGAGAAGTGAAGAACTGGAAGTGAGGCAGCTTTGGGAATAGTGCTGCAAAAAGCCAGAGCTCCTTAAACAAGGACATGCTCTTTGCAGCGAAGTGGTCTGGCTGCTGTCTTCCTCTGTCTTAGCTGCTTGTCCTCTAACTTATCCTTCTCTTGGGTTTTTTCAGGTGCCTGCACTGTATGGGATTGATACCCGAATGCTCTCCAAATTAATTCGTGACAAGGTATGATCTGCTTCCCTTCATCCCATTCCATTAACCTTGCTAGTGCTGTGCCCTTTTCCTAACAGTGCAGCAAACCTGGGGTAGCAGCACTACTGCTGAGCTGCCTGGACCCCAGATGCTGGTCCCTGCGCTCTTCCAACAGCTCCGCGTCTCTGTCCAGCTGAGGCGAGGATCCCTGAGATCCCAGGGAGCCCTTCTCCTTGGCTCTGCTCTGGGTTTCCTGTTCTGCATAGGGGAACCAGCACAAGCTGATGTAGATGCAGGGCCACAGGGAGCTGTGTCGGGCATAACGGGTAGTAGTGTCAACTACGTGTTGCTTCAGATAGTAACAGAGGGAGCAACAACTCTGAATATTGTGGATCTAAGTTCAAGGCAGCACCACCTTTGGTCAGTGGAAATTCTCTGCTCCTCAGAGACAAAGGAATGCCCACAGTAACCTGAGCTCAGCCTGGTTTTCTTTGGCTGAAACCTGTTATTATTCTTAATAGTCATTACTTTCCTTGGTTTCCAAGAGGTGACAACTGGAGGACATGAGCAGGATTACCTTACGGAATGAAGGTTAATGTTAAGGTGCTTTTCACACTGGCTAAAAGAGTGATCAAAGCCAGCCTGAATGTAAATGCACCTTGGAGCTCTTTGTTTGCAGTGCATTACGTGAAGCTGTTCTCTTCTGTAAGTGATCATTTGCAGCCTGCAGTCCAAGCCCACATCACCTTTCATTCCACAGAGCAAAGTATGAATGACCCAGCATGAATAGAGGAATATTTGTCGAAATGAATTGTTATGGGAAGGCAGGGCATTGTCCTGCACTTACAGACAGCAGACAAGTGCAGTTTAATACAACAGAAAATGGCAATACACTTTCTGCTTTCTTGAGACACGGTTTAATGGATCAGCATTCATTTAATCCAAAGTCAATACGCTTTCAGTGTTTATCCTGTAACTTTGCAGTAGTAATGCCCATTATACTGGGCCTCTGAGTGGTATTAGTTTATGCCTTTTAATAAAATAGTGCATAATGCAGCCTTTTCTCCCAGTCTTCTCAGGGTGAACAGCTTAGTATTTCACTCCATGTCTGCTTACAAACTGGGGGTGAGAAGAGGGCTTTGTTATGCTATGTGCAGAAATGGCTTGTTAAATGGGACTCTTGGCTGGATAATCTGTGAGCAGGGTAAGACACAGGGTTCCTGTTTGAAAGCAGTGGCTTTAGGGCTTTGTCATCAGCGTTTATGGGGCTGACTGCATGGTGGCACTCAGCAGTTGCTGTGGTTCCCAAGAACCTGACTTGTTTAAGACGATGTTGACCTTTTCAGCTCCGCTCCATGCAAAGCAGCCTGGAGCAGCTTTTGGTGGAAGGTGCTAAGCAAGATGAGACAGGATGTCAGCCACTGTTAAGAGCAAAACTGTCTATAAAACCCTTCGTAGTGCACATGGCAGTGCAGGATGCTGGCTCTTTCTTGCTCTGAGAAGAGGGCAAGGATACTTCAGGTATGGCCAGCCATGAAGTATCAGTAAAGCCAGTGAGCAATCCTGGTGTGCATGCTGGTCTCATATCCACGTATTTATCATGAAAGTGTTATGCATTAAAAGTTACAACAAAAAATTGACTTTCTCTATTTTCCCCTTCTGTCTTTGGAAAGTTCTGCATTTTGAAAAATGGCACACCCTGTCCCCATGCTGATAGGAGTTGAACCCTACGTTACCCCACTTGTTCCAGGAGTGGGGCAAAAGCCAAACCAGGGATTTTTCCACTGAGAACTTTACTGAGAAGAAGGTGGAAAAGAATGTGCTGCTGACAGAGCAAGAGTGTCCTAGCTTTTGTGAGGTGGTAACAGCAATAAAGAGTAGAGCTTGCTGGAGGTGACTGGGTTTTTTAACAGCTTATTCAGAAAACAGCGGTGCTGACTGGCCTGCTACACAGCTTTGCCTTACCCCAGCCCTGCTCCCTTCTAACTACCCACACAAGGTGGCTGAACACCTCACAGTGGGTTTCCAAAACCAAAAGGCTTCAAACTGTTTTGTGGATTACTCCCAGATCTACACAACTGTTATTTGGGGGGTTGAATTGTGATTGTCTTAGAAGGAAACCCATTTTACTGTCACTAGAGAGCTTGCCAAACTGCCTGTTAACAAATTGTACTGCTGACAATGCCTTTACTTGGAATGAAGGATTTTAAACAGATTTTTGATACTGAGGTAGGCTCGTAAACTTCTGAAGATGCTAGAAATGGTTTTAAGCCACCAAGAAACCATCTCCAAACAGCTGCTCCAGTTGCGGTGGCTGTCAGCACCTCATCCTGGTGTTCACAGCTTCTCCTTTGCTCATGCTTTGTTGTTAACTGGTGTATTTCCACAGGGCACGCTACTTGGGAAGATTGAATTTGAAGGTCAACCCATGGAGTTTGCAGACCCGAATAAGCAAAACTTAATTGCAGAGGTTTCAACAAAGGTGAGAAGTTTTTCTGTAGTTCCAGAACTGTACACAACAGGTAGTAACGGCCCCTCATTTCCTCTGGGGGTCGTACAGTCTTTCTAAACAACTGGGGGACCTTTTCTAAACCATACATCTTTCCAGACTTTTGAAGGACTGTCGTCTCAATGTCAGCCTCGTAGAACCCCCATGGCTCCTTCGGTGCAGCGCTGAGGATGTAAAATGAGCTGTGTTGGGCTGGGTGTAGTCGGGTGTGTAAACTGTGGTTGGCCACAAGCTGAGAACAACGTTACAAATCATGAGGATACAGCAAACCAGGCCCCTACTGAAAATAGTAACTATTCTTGTTCTGATGCAAGGCCTAATGTCTGAAGCTGTGGACCCTCTAGGGATTTAACTGTGGGATAAAGGTGCCTTGGGTGCTTAATCCCATTGACTGAAGTGACCACTGAGCATATGAGTCCCTTTCAGAAACCCCGTGGTATTTGCAGCTCCTTCCAGACCAGTGAGGCTGTGGAAGAGCTGCGCGTTGTTGCTCGCGTACTGTTCTGCGTGCAAGCTGGTGTGCTAGTGGCGTGAGTGCGAAGCAGTCCTGAACAGACTGGTTTGGGAGCAAGTGGGAATTTGAAGTGCAGTCTCCATCCAGTCTCGGATTTGCTGTAGTAATTGGGATGCCATTGGAATACACCGGCTGCCTTGCAAATCTTCCCTTTGGGGATCTCACCAACTCATGCCAGTGCTTCCACTGTATTTTGAGTCAGAGCCTTGCTGCCACACAGAAAGGTGGCGGTCGCTTCTTGAGGTGGTGATCTGTGATTACAAAAGGCAGGCGGGGCCGTTTTGAGCAGTATCGTGGAAATAGGTAAGGTTGCTGATGCTAAACTCTGCAATTACTGAGACAGAATTACTGTAAAGATGCTGCAAATAGCTTCTAAAAGGGAGACACAGTAAGATTAACTGAGCTTTGGTGGTCTCATTATGCTTATAACTTAATTTTGCAGGCTTAAAAAGCAACAAAACAAAGCTGAAGTAAGCTGTTCATTGTTGGTAATTACTGGACATGATTGTCTGTTGCCAACCAGCTGTTTTCATGTAAATCAGGATACAGTAGGATCAGGAATCTGCTTATCAGTTGTGCATTAGGAGTGATTGCCTTTTTTTATTGTTATTTTCTTTCCTTGCCTTCTTGAGATGCTGGTGGCATAGACCCTATGGGCTGATGTCTCCTGTACAGGGCAGGGAACGTAGGAAACAGGGGCATGTGATGGTCAGGATCCCAAACCAGACGAGAGGTATTTAACCACTTGAAGCTCAAAGGTCTCTTCTGTCCACATGTACGGCCCCACGTACTCTTTGTGCTCAGCTCTGTTGCTGGCAGGAGTTTTCTACCCTCCCTGGCTGCTGGCTTGCAGCCTTCCCACATCATCCTCTCAGATTGGAGCCGTTTTTAGAGGCTGTGCAGTGAAGAGATGAGGGAAATCCTCTGGCTTTAGAAGGAGCGCATTTTAACAGTTCCCTGATGCAGTTCCCAGTCTGGTTTCTGTCTGCCCTGGGCCAGGCGCAGGGGTCAGTGCTCGAATAAGAAGTGAGATGTGGGGGAGGGTTGTGAAAACAGCAACACCTAAAGTCAGTCTTCGTGCTGAAGGAAATGTAACAAATCATAGCCTAATTAACTGAACAGGGAAGAGTTTTGAGAGTGAGGTAAAGTACCTCAAAGCAGTTTTTTTTCCCCCAGCTCTCTCTGGCTATTAGAACCTTTGATGGAGATCCTTGTTTCATAGTGTTTTGCAGATTTTTATGTATGGATGTTGTGAGGAATTGAGGGGTCTCCAAAAGCCCTTTTAATAGGAGGGTGAGTTTTTTTTAAGGGACTCTGGTACATGACACTAAGTTAATTTCTGTGAGAACTGGGCACCTTAATCTTGAGATTTTGGAAACCCACTTCCCAGAAGCCTGAAGGGCAGCAGGTAGAAGACCCTTACAATTCCTGTGTGGTGGTACAGCTCCACCATGGACTGTGGAAGCAGAATCCACTTGTGTGCTGGTGACTGTGAAGATGGTGTCGTATTTGATGTCAAGCACAGCTTCATATCAGAAGCCTTGAGTGATCTAACAAGACCCAGTTTCAACATGATTTCCAATCTACTCGTTCTCAGAAAGGGCTTGTGGGGTACTTTGCCATCTGGTCGCGTCGTGCGACCTACAAGGTCTATGTTCTGGTACAAAAATCTCCTTTCAGCATTACACAGCAGGAGTTGCGACAGCAGTGGTAACAATGCTGCCTCTGTGCTGTCATGCCCTCAGAGAAGGATTAGGGACCACCTAATTCTGTAGTTTGTGTTGCAGCTTCAAGCCTCACAGTGAAGGGAGGTGACTCCTTGCACCCATCTCCTCCGGCCTTGCTCCTGATATGGCAGAAAGTCACTCCTTATGATGGTCAGAGCTGTCCTCACACAGGGCATGCTTTTGCATCCTAAAAATCTCTTCATCTTAATCTCTGAGAAGATAAAACAAAAACAGTTAGGATAACACAGAGGGGGGGAATTTGAATATTCTACTAAACCTCATCTTGAGTTTCCTATAATCATAACCAATCCCTGTAATCCAAGCTGGTTGTAATCTTCCTATGAAAAGATTCAGTTCATCACCCAGCACCAGGGATATCAGGCATGGATTTTTAGCATCTTTTCATAAAGGGGCCCAGCTGTGAAATATGGATGCCAGGGAAGCTGATTAAAAGGGACTTAGTTGTTTTTTTAAAAAAAGAGACGACTCTCTTTTCAGTGGTGTATTGCCCAAGAGAAAATCCCATTTGGGCAAAGTACCCTTACCGGTATCAGCTTTCAGAAGCTGACCATAAGGTAAGCACAGTGTTTTCAGAAAGAAGACGGTTGCTGTATGTGCTTATTGATGAATAACATCGCAGCCTGGTCAATCAAACAAGTAAAATCATTCAGCATAATGGCCCAGATTTGGGACTGGTGATGACTTTGTGGAATGGGTTAAGGAACAGCAGCTGGAAGAGGAGGTGGTGTGTTGTCTGATATGTAAAACTGTCAGGTCCATATGAACACAGGTCATACCCAGCTGTGTGCTTGGCCTGGCCTGTGCCTCTGTGATGCACTAGGATACCTCCTGCTGCCATACTTCGGTCTCGCTGTGACTGGAGGGCCAGGGTGGCATTTACTGTGATGGAGCTGCAGGTGGTGTGAAGTAGCCTCGCTCCCCTGGCGTCACCGGGATAACTTCAGATGCAAATTTCTTGCCATCTATCTGGCATTTCTCTTGGGCTGCAATAATCTGTGAGAACTGGCTCGCTGGTGCACTGCTAATGAGGTGAAACACAGGAAAAGAGCTTGTCGTTAGCTATGGAAACAAGTGATTTCTGAGGGATTGCTGTTACTGCTGTAATCAACAGTATTGAAAAGTGTTTTAACTTCTCCTTTCACAGAGAAGTGAAGGAAGTGCTCATGTCTGCAGTACTCATGGAGATTTCCATGTAAATTGATTGTTAAGTACCAGTTGCTGCATGTTGGTGAAAAGTTACTCAACTCCTCTTCCGTGTGTTTTGAGGACAGGGGTGTGATCTGTCATTTACAGCATGCTCTGCCTTTTTGTAGGAAGTCAAGGTTTACGGCAGAGGGAATCCACTTAAAGTTGTAGCTGTCGACTGTGGGGTGAAGCACAACGTTATCCGTCTGCTGGTGAAGGTAAGTCAGTGCCTTCTGTCCGCTTTTTCCAGAGAAGGTGTGAATTTCCTGTCCTTCAAGATTCTGAAAACTTGACCAATGCCCTCCGCAGTCTGCCCTGAAGTTGAAGTTACCCCTGCTTTGGGCAGGGATTGGATCAGCTGACCTTCTGAGGTCCCTCCAGCCTTATTCTTTAATTCTATGACTCTGTGAAAATCTTCTCCTGCTGTTAACACCATGGGGTGGCAGTCCTTCTCTAGGCACCCAGGAGGATTGAATGCAGAGTCCTGTCATTCTGTAGATGCACAGCGATTCCCTGTCTCTGTTTTTTCATTCATGGGGATGTTTGTCCCGTTTTTGATGTTGACGAACTATTTCTGGCGTGCCACAGGAGGCGGCTGTGAAGCCCTACGTTAGCAGGATGAACGCACTGCGTAAAAGTGAACGTGTTTTGTGTGTGTGCCTACACGCTCATTTTGCATCCCATTAGTGTGTTTGGATCTCACCAGTGAATTGCAGACAAACTTGACAGACACTGAGGTGGCTCAGACTCAGTCTGCCAGTTTTGTGAAAGTTACCTGGGCAGATAGTGGGGAGAAGCCTTATTATTGTCACTGGAGAAGGAATGACTGAAATCCAAACGCAGCATCTGGAACGCGAGAGCATGGGGAAAAACCTCCTGACACAAATTTATTTGTTCCCCTCCTCCCCTAATTTCTTGTTCCCTTGCTTTGGTTTTTTTCCCAGCGAGGTGCAGAGGTGCATTTGGTTCCATGGGACCATGATTTCACCAGCATGGAATATGATGGGCTTATAATTGCCGGAGGTCCAGGGGATCCCATGAAGGCCCAGGAGGTGATTCAGAATGTCAGAAAGGTACAGTGGCTACAGCTATTAGCCATAGGCCAATTGTTCTTGTTTATTTGCCTTGTTTTAAGTGCTTGAAATCTAAACAGCTGGTTGGACAAACATGTTAAGGACCAAATGTCCTTCAGTCCTTTCAGCTGTCTGGGATATTCCTCATCTTGGTCCACTAGTAGTCGTTCCCAAACCAGTATTTACAGTAAGGCTACACAGACCTTTGGTGAACAATACATAGTAAACATGATGACTACCATTACCTTACGGGTGCCTTAAAGTGCCCTGTGCTGTTTCAGGTCCTCTGTGACCTTCGGAAAGAACAGCCTTGATTTCACAGTGCTTCCATCCAAAATAATGTCGTGCACTAAATGGCTGTAATGCAGCATCGTTGCTTATTCCCTCGAGCGGGCCGGAACATCCAGCTGTGCTCTGAGGCTTCCCCCTGAAGCAGAGGAGAGGAAGAAACATTCCATTGTAGGCTGTTGCCACCCTTGCATTCAGCTTTTTCCCAAGTCTGTGTGGCTGTTAAGAGGGAACTGGCATGATTTGTGCTGGAATTGCTGGACAGAGACTCTCCAGCATCTGTTGGAAACCTTTTCTTTTTAGGTCCTGGAGAACAATCGCCCAGAGCCCTTGTTTGGGATTAGCATGGGGAATCTAATCACTGGAATAGCAGCTGGAGCTACTTCCTACAAGATGCAGATGGCTAACAGGTGCGGCAGCTCTTCTGCTTCCCAGAGCCTGGCTAGACCAGCCCAGCCTTGCAGAAGGCCACAGAGCAGCAGCTTCTGAACTGTCTTCACGAGACCTAGCATGGCAGTAACATTCCTTCCTCATTCCAGCCCTTCTCCTTGTCCTCAGTTTAAACTGCCATATCGTTCATTGCTTTTTTTGAGGGTGTTTTGAAAGTATGTGATGTAATTGATCCCCATCAAACTGAAAGATAGCAAAGCATCTCCTAGGATTTACCATTTTGAGATTTGTTGCCAGTATCAAACAGCTACTATTGAACATCAGCATGGCCAGCAGGTCAAGGGAGGGGAATCTCCCCCTCTACTTTGCTCCCATGAGACCCCACCTGGAGTTCTGCATCCAGCTGTGGAGACCTCAACATCAGAAGGATATAGACTGGTTGGAGCAAGTCCAGAGGAGGCCACAAAGATGCTCCAAGGGCTGGACCCCCTCTGCTATGGGGACAGGCTGAGATAGCCGGGCTTGTTCAGCCTGGAGAAGAGAAGGCTCCGGGGAGACCTTGTAGCAGCCTTCCAGTGCCTGAAGGGGCTACAAGGAAGCTGGGGGGGACTTTTCCCAAGGGCCTGTAGTGCCAGGACCAGGCATAACAGGTTTAAATTGAAAGTGGGGAGATTTAGATTAGATATCAGGAAGAAATTCCTCCCGGAGAGGATGGGGAGGCACTGGGACAGGGTGCCCAGAGAAGCTGTGGATGCCCCATCCCAGGAAGTGTCCAAGGCCAGGCTGGATGAGGCTTGGAGCAACCTGGTCTAGTGGAAGGTGTCCCTGCCCATCGCAGGGGGGGTGGGACTGGATGGGGTTTAAGGTCCCTTCCAACCCAAACCATGGGTGAACTGCTATCTATATACCCAGAGTTCCTCTTCCTACTTGTGGCATTTGGACATGTCTAGCACTTCAGTCCCCTGTTCTCTGACCCTTTCTCTTCCAGAGGACAGAACCAGCCTGTGCTGAATGCAGTGAACGGCCAGGCTGTCATCACTGCTCAGAACCACGGTTATGCCATCGACAGCTCTACCCTCCCGCCCTTTTTTCGCTCTTTGTGAATGCCAACGATCAAACGAATGAGGTGAGCTCATGCTTTCCAGATACCTCCACGTAGCAGCCTCTTGTGAATGAACGCTCCATCTCGCTTCATTTCACCTCCTAGAAGCTTGCTGTCAGATAGTGTATTGGGACTAAGCTTGGTCATCTGACTGTTTGCTTTACTTGGGGCCCTGCCTTACAGCCCAAAAGGAGGTGAACCATTACCACTCTTCTCCACAATGCCCCAAAATGTAGGATTGCAACAGTGACCTCATGATTTCCCTTGAACTGCTGCCTTAGGAACTCCTGTGTTGCCCCTGCCGTTAGTGATGCTCACTGTTACCATTGTTTTGGGGCTCGTGCTGCAGGTGCTCTAGGCACTGCCACTGTTTCGTTGGGTTCGTTCTGTGTTGCCCAGTGCAGAAAAGGAATATTACTGCATCTAATTTGGTCTGTTACTGTAGAAAGAATTTACCAGCGTCATGAAAGAGAGAGGCTGTTGCCTCTAAAGAACAACTTACAGGATCTAAGGTAGAGGTCTCATGTGAAGTGATATCTGTGTGGGGAAAAATAAATTAAAAAATGCCTGGCCTCTGGAAGTTCACAGCTGAACAGGGAAAAGCATAGGAAGGAAAACAACATCCCATATCTCAGTTTTGACAAGGTCAGACAGACACTGAGACAGATCTCAGGCTTTGTAATTGTCCGTTTTAAATCTTGTCCATTAGGCCGAGTGTCGTACAAGTCAGTGAAGTCTTGTTATTTATCAGAAAATCATTGAAAAGAAGGTATTTTCAAAAGCAGTTTCCCCCCTGGGAATATGCCTCTCCGTTGTTTTGTATAAACGCCCCACATCAAGTCTGTCAGGTTGAACAGTGCTGTTCTGGCATATCCCGGCTGCGCTTTGCAGGATCAAGGAGCAGTAATTTCCAGCCGATGGTTTTGGAATAAGTTTGTTATTTGTCAGTTGCTGTTTTCTTTATTCTTACAGATATATCTAAGCAGAGACAAATGTTACCAAACAAGACATTAGTACAAAAAACTTTCAGCTGTTTGGTTCAGTTTTTGAGATGAGTTTGTTTTAGCGGTGTTGACAAACTGAACCCTTTCATCCCCAGGCCTTTCATGTTTGCTTTTAGCTGAAGGTTGGAGACAAGTGTGGTGGTGCTTTTGCATAAAGCAGATGATAAGGTTAGACATGAGTCTTCTGGATCTAAAAGCATGACAGTCTTTTATGTGAGCTGAGGGACCATTTCTATGAGTCCCAAAGCAGCATCAGTCTCCTAAACCTTTGCAGATGGAGAGGGAGAAGGAGCAATGTTTCTTTAGTGTGGGATGCGCTAACAGGAACGGGGTTGGATGGGCTCTTGTGTGAAGTCTGTTGCGTCCCACTGTTTGAAAGAGGAAAAACCTTTTCTTGTGCCTGGCCTGACCCATCGCAGCTGGACAGGGCCAACACGGGTTTCCAAATACTGCCTAGCCGTGGAGTGAATGTTTTTGGAAGATATTTGTATGTAACTAGAAGTTAGACGAGCATTCAGGGAGTGTGACAGATTGATGACATTCTTCACTCTGAGGGCAGAAATTTGTCCAGTAATGGATCAGCTGTGGTCAGTAGCTCCTCTCTCATCCCTGTCCTACCCCAGCATCCCACCCTGCAGCTCGGGGTGGCACTGTTGCTCTACAGGACCTGTCGGGACTCCTTTGTCCATTCCTAAAGGAAGCAGGTTGTATCAGAACTATTTTTTCCTGGGTTCCCTCTTCAGGAACATCTTCCATCTGGAATTGTGGGCTGTAAGCAATGGCAGCCACAGGGTAGTTTCCCAGTGGACCACGCTGCTTGGTGCTATCAGGCTATGCAAATGGGAAGGCTGTTTTTGCTGGCTCCAACTGGAACTACAAGGACTGTCTCCAGACTCAGTTTAGGTCCTTCATAGCTATTGTTTGTGCAGAGCAGTGATCCTGCTCCGTCACAGACCTGACAGCGACTGAGGGCAGAGATATCTGTGAGGCCCTTTGTCAATATTTAAAGTGAATTATGGAAGGAAAGAGCATGACCCAAATCCATCTCTCCTGTAACAGAACCAGCCAGATCAGGATGATAAAACCATTCATTCCATAACAGCCTTGTCCAAGGGGATCTTTACTTGCCATGTTTTTCTTCTCTGCCTGGTCTCTGCCCTCATCTCTAGAGGGAGCCCTGGAGGCCTATCTGCTCTGTTAAGTGCTTAAACTTAGTAGTGCTTGCTGCTGTAGTGAAAGTGATGGTTCTTGTCCACGCCCAGCTCAGTGGGTCATACAGGCACTGGAGCATTAGCAGAAGAGCAAGAGGCTCAACGGCTTCTCACATAAGACATTGTTTGAAGACTGAGAATGAAATGGGTCTGAATTTGACAGCCCCTAGGAACGCCCCAATTCTTTGGTGCTTACAGGGGCAAGGTGTGGCTTTCTGTTCTCTTTGAGGAGGTGCCTAAGATGATTGTTTTCATTCCTGCAGGGCATCATGCATGAGACCAGACCAATTTTCACGGCACAGTTCTACCCAGATGCAAGTCCTGGGCCGAGAGACACAGAGGTATTGTATGAGAGTTGGTCTGGGCTTGCTCTCAGATATGTATCAGCTCCAGTGACAAGTCTTGATGGCAGTGATGGTCCTAAATCTTGGTTTTGGAAATGTTGTGATCCTAACAGAGGGCCCAATCATGCATAGGCTTGTGTCTGCTTAGCTTGATCCGCAGCTAATTACAATCAACAGCAAGGCGTCTATTGACTCCTGTGTGCTCTGGATCAGTGATTCCATTCATATGATGTGTATGCTTTCAGTCCTGCTGGGATTATTTGTGTGTCGGAAACTACTGAAGTGCTTAAGTCTTTGCAGGATCAGGCTCAAATCTCTTGTACCTGGGGTGATTGCAAAAGGAAAAGGATTTTATCTTAACAGAAAAAATACTAGCCAGATGCTTTATAATAAAATCATTAACTTTCTAATACATTTTAGTTCCACTTTCAAATTTTATAATTACTGTAGAGTTATGTAAATGGATTCACACTTCTTCACGCTGGTTCTCCTAAGTGAAATGAAATTTTAATCCCCCATCTGTGACTTCGCACAAATTCTATAACAACTGGTTGCGTAGTCACAGAGTATGACTAAGCAGCAACAGGGGATGTGGAAGGCAGAGGAGGCATGTCTGAACATAAATAAACTATTTAGCATTTCTTGCGAGAGGAACGTGGAAGAATACATAGAAGTGCTTATTTTAATCTTAATTTGATGATGTTGATTAAACCTGCAAGTAAATCTCTTGATATCAAGAAGTTTCCTAGCAATCTGATTGACTGGTGAGTCTTGGAGAACTGAAGATGGCCCTCAGCTGTGTCTTTTCCAGGTCTGTGCGCTCCCACTGCTGGGATGGGTTTGATAGCACTGTGCCTATCCTGCAGGGCTTGCGGGGCCCATCCATACTCCTCCCATGGGTGATTCCCAGCAGCCAGCTTCAGGGGCTGTGTGGACAGAAGCTCTGCAGGCGTGGGGTCAGGCGAGGAGCCTGTCCCACTGCCTGCAGCTGCCTGCGTGCCAGCCGTGGGCACGCTGCCCGGCCTGGCTGGAGAACACATCTCTCTCAGCCGCTGGGGATCTCCTCTGGAAGGACAATACTGATCTACCGCAACTGCTGTTTAGACATACCTGTTCATATCCCAGCTCTGTAACAGGCTCCTTTCCAGATGGTTCCCTTGAGCTAGTTAAGTATATGGTTCCTCTGTACTTTGGCTTTTAATGCACACGCATTGATAACAGCAGAGCACACAGACATGATTGATAATGTGTTTTCTTCCTGATACGACCTCACTTTCTTCATTGCAGCTTTGTCAGATATGTCAGTGGTTAAATAAATTTCCAATAATGATCCCCTCTTCTCTGATGGTGTAAATCTGCCTTCTGAAGGCAGCAGGGCAGAGTTGATAGCTAGAGCTCACAAGTAGCCTGTTTATTTCTTTGCTTGGTATTTACTTGATTCCCCTTTGGGGATTAAATACATGTGTTTCTTTTTCCTAGTTCCTGTTTGATTCATTCATTTCGCTGGTTAAGAGAGGGAAAGGCACGACCATTTCCTCGGTCCTGCCCAAGGCTGGAGCGACAGCTTCCAGGGTGGAGGTCAGTGCGCTCGTCGTTCATGCCTGTCGGGGAGGTAGGGAACTAGTTAACTCCTACTGAACCCACGGTACAAAGTGGCACAAAACACCGACCATGGAAGCCAAAGGAGGCTTCCCTTGCAAGAGGCCTGCCACCTGCCCTTCTCACAGCTGTCAGGCGCCTTTTGTGTTATTAACTCCCTTTTCTTGGAGAAGGGTTTACATTCTGGTGTTTCATCTGTTATTTCTTTGTAGCTCTCCCAAGACAGGGACTCTTGTAGCAGTATATGAGGTGCCCTGGGATAATCAGACCATGAGCTTTTGTGCTAGCAGCGTAATGTTGATGCTCTGTTGCTTAGCAAATAAGCCTGAAATTCTTAGCGTGAGCTGAATTTCAGACAGTTTTGCTATCTTAGAAGGCAGCTGGACCTTGTAGGCAGCCAAAATGAGGCACTGTTGTCTAGAAGCACATGGTACAATTAACACTGTGTGCCCTGTGTCATGTGTTTCCCCAACCAGAGATATATGGGAGCAGTCCAGCAGAAATATTCTTAGAAGTAAAACTGCAGTGGGTTTGGAGGTGACTTCTCTTCTCTTTTTAGAACTTACGTTTTGTAATTTGAGGCTGTTCAGTGCTGCACAGTCTCTGTTATTTCAACATCCACTACCATGGGACTGATTTTCTTTTTTTTCTTTTTTTCTTTTTTTTCTTCTTCATGCTGTTTGACACTTCTAGGTCTCCAAAGTTCTCATTCTAGGATCTGGGGGTCTGTCGATTGGTCAGGCAGGGGAATTTGATTACTCTGGATCCCAGGCTGTGAAAGCCATGAAGGTGAGAGGATACTCTTCAAATACTAACCTAATGTAATTTACTATCCCTTCTCACAGCTAACTATGATCATCCAGCTATGGTGTCACTGCAGCAGGGA